CGCTGCGGACGCACGACTTACCTGGGGGATGAGCCGCCACTGGCCTGCCGCGCTGCAGCACCCTCGAGCAGGCTCGCGGGATGCCTGTCGCCGCTCGATCCCCTCGCCTTTTTGCCCGGAGGCGACAGCAGCAGCTGCGAGTTTGGCCAGCGGAAAGCGAGCTGCCTCCTCCGCTAGGTGTGGGCGGCATGAGGACTAGTCGGCAAATCGCTTTGTCGCGTCGTGACCCCGGTCGAGCCAGCCAGCAGCGGCCCTTCGCCATCACGCACCGGCCTGACGCAGCGACGTCCGCCCTGCTTGCCCGGTGCTGCTGCGTGGATGTCTGCTGCCGTGGCATGGTCCTTTCGGTGAGTCGGATTCGAAAACACATACCCATCAACACACCGCGGCCTGCTCGGAGCAGCACAGAGGAGGCGGTGGCTGGCACGGAGGCCCACGACTTTCCGCACGGCGTCTCGACAGCGTCCAGTCCACGCCTGCTCCACACCACAGCCTCAGACCGCCACGACGACAGCGGAGCTGCTCCTTCCCCGCTCCATCCCGTCAGACGCACGGACGACAAACTTTGAGCCGCATCGCGTGTCCGGCCAGCGTCGAAACCTGATGCCAAGTCCACCGCAAACACAACATCATGGCAGAACGAGGCCAATTTCGCGGAGGTCGCGGTCGCGGTGAAGGGCGTGGCAGAGGTGGTGGTGATCGCGGAGGTCGAGGTGGTGGTCACGCGCAAGGCGGCGAGCGAAAGAAGGAAAACATCCTCGACTTGTCCAAGTATCTTGAGAAGGGGATTACTGTCAAATTCAGCGGTGGTCGAGAAGGTCAGTGTGCTGTTGTTTGGTGAAGAAATTTGATTTGACTAATGTTGATTGTAGTCACGGGGACATTGAAAGGATATGATCAGCTCATGAATCTGGTTCTCGATGACGTGAAGGAGACGACGCGAGGTGAGAGCACACCACCAACGTACATTGCTTCAGCTACTGACGTCCGCTGCAGACGAAGAGGGCAATACCAGCACAAGAAATCTCGGTCTGCTTGTCGCACGTGGAACGCTTCTCGTTCTCATCAGCCCCGTGGACGGCAGCGAAGAAATCGCAAATCCTTTCGTGCAAGCCGACGAAGACGAATGAACGCACAGCAATCAGTGAGGCCCAGGCAGGCGTCTCCCAAAATTCTGCAAAGCATGCAACGGGGGAAGGAACGAACTGCTGTGCAGGCACGCTTTGCAGCAGCACGACCTCGAGCAAGTGGCAATTGCGCCAGCAATCAACACAGTGCTGCAAACGCACACGAAGCCTAATCGAGCCATACTGGGCAATTTCGGAGCCGTTAGCAAACGCTTGAGCAGCTCCAGCTCAGTTAGATCAAGGACCGCATCATGGGCTCCCTGCAGAAAGACGACGAATAGCACAAAAACATGCAAAATAAGACGACTCGAGCACCCCAAGCCCGGCCCGTCTGTCACGCATCCATTGTATTTCCATACCACTATCGTGCCAGTGCTGACATGCAGAAAATGCTATAATCGGGCGATGTTCTCAGTCACTTGTCTGTGACCTGCGCAACAGGCCTACTGCAGCCAACAAGCTCAATCGCCTGTATAGACTTTTCCGGTGGCATCACCAAGACTACTGTAGACCATGTGTCATTACGACAACCGGTCATACTATACGCGTACGACTGTCGCTTTCGAGTGCACACTTGCAGTATAAGCACTAATGAGGAGCAACATGAATGTGAACATTGACGTGTTCCATTCGGCAAGGCCATTGACTTCAGGGTTAGGGTTAGAGAGCGACCAGTAGCAGAAACATGAGTTGTAGTCGACATCGCCTCTGTTCAGCAACGACGCGGCGCGTCGAGTTCCGACATTGGCTAACAAGAAGAAACAGAATGAGTACGTGCAAGAATATCTTGTATGCGTCGACCGATGTCTAACGACAGCTAATGACTCTTGTTTTGAGCACCTCAAAAATGCTTCAAGCCATCATATACCGAGCTAACCCTCCACACGTATCGTTCACTACTTCCCACTCCCCTCAATCCACTCCTTAAACAACGGCAGCACCCTCTCCGGACACTCCTCCGGCAAATAATGCCCAAATCCCCCATCCACAGGTTCAAACCTCACCTCCTCCGGCCTCTCCACCCACCCCTTCCACACCTTAGGCACATCATGCATCCTCCCCAAATTACTCGCCGACCAAACCACCATCAACGGAATCCCCACCTTCCTCCCACTCTCCTGATCCTTCGTCTGCTCCTCCACATCCTCAAACGCCCCCGCAGAATAATCCCCACAACTCCCCGCCACACATTCCGGATTCGAGAATTGATGACAATAATGCCCTACCGCGTCATTTTCTCTAAATTTGGATACCCCGGCTTCGGCGGCGCCTTTGGCGCGTTCGAGGTTGATTTTTGTGAATTCGCCACTACCCATTGCTTCGATCATTTGAGGGGCTGTGGGTAAGGCGAGGAAAGGCCAGTGGTAGTAGGCTGCGCTTGCGGCGGGGTTGGAGAAGGCGGCCCATTGTTCTTTTGTGGGGACGATGTCGATGAGGATTGCGGAGATGATGTTGTGGGAGGGGGTGTTGTCTACGATTAGGCGGTGGCCGATTCTGCCTTTTGGAGGGAGTTAGTTCGGTTTTGATTTGACGAATGGTTGGGGAGAAGAGTGTTGTTTTTACCTCCGCGGTCGTGGCCGCACCAGATTACGGGGCGATCTTTGGAGAAGACTTGTTGCAGAGCTTCGATGATGAGGTTGCCTACTGTGCGCTTGTCATGTTTGGGAGGGAGGGAGGAGAAGCCGTAGCCGGGGAGTTCGGGCACGAAGAGAGAGATGGTGTCTTTCAGTTCAGAGACGACATGTCTCCACATGTAGCTGCTTTGAGGCCAGCCATGGACGCATACGAAGATAGGACCGGAGCCAAGGTCATGGGAATAGCTCTTGACATGGCCGCCTGAGGAGACGGTGGAGGTGTTCTCTTGCAGGAAAGGATGCAGCGTCTTCAGTGTCTGGTCTGCCATGATCGGGAGATTGTCCGCGGCTCTTCAAGAAGCAAGTATTCGCTTTGGAGTTGATAGGAAGCAAAGCTTGTTGACAGAGTGTAGTCCGCGGGCGTGGCTGACATTTCAGCAGCTTAGAGGGTGCTTTCTTCTAACATGACGACACAGCTGTATGATTAAGCATTGGGGCGGGGTGGATCTGGACTGTGCAGCAGCCATTCGACAGTCACCGCGGCAGTGGAACACTAATCAGCGCATCGACAAAGCTCACATGCTGTAGCATCCAGTGTAGTTTTTAGTGTTGTCAGCGGAGTATGGAGGCGGCTACACTCTGGGGACGCGGCTGTCGTCGTCGATCGGCTCTTCGGACTGAATCGGAAGTTCAATGCTTTCGCCCGAAAATTGTGGGGGAGCAAGTGCGCTCGCCCAAAAGAGACCCTGCGTCGCTCGAAGGTTTGGAATTTCGTTCAGTGAAGTAGGTGTGTTTGCTGTTTGCTGCACCGTCTCAAACACTCCGCGGAGAGTGTCTCCTGGCACGGTGGTGCAACTGGTCAGCAGACAGCGTGCATAACCATCGTGAGCAGGGGATGTATTGACGCGCCCATGGGCAGCGGAGAATGCGCGTCCACGAAGTCTGGTTTGTCCAGCACATCGGGGGCCGACCATCGCTGTCGATGCTGGGCTACCTGGAGCCGCCCAACCAGGTCGACGGCGGGTGGGCGCCGACGTGCGAAGAAATGCAACAAGTGAACGCGTGTCTGCACGTCTCGTATCCGTCGGCTCTCTGTTCGTTGGGAGTACATAGTGCTCACTGTGCATTAATAATTGCGTGACTGGTGAGCGACAAGAACAGCAAGGTTTCCAAGACCGAAGCTTGTCGCCGGCGTGCACAGACAGCGAGCCAGTTGTGCAGCGCCTCTCGGTCGCTCCCACGAGTCGAGACTTGCTCCCGCGCCTGGCTCGCTCTCCTCTCACTCTCCTGCCCACCCGCACCCAACCAACCTCAAACATACCTCACCAGCCGCCACCGCACCGCGCCCCGACACACGCACCCTCTCCTCGCCACCGCGCTCGACACTCCGCTCACACCGACACCGCGACCGCTCTCCACCCCGCTGCGCTCCATGTGGCCGCCTTGAGAGGACCCGACGGCGCCAAGCCAAGCGCTGCAATACCACCGGAGCGCGACTCGAGCGATGTTTCACCATGTGGCCCAAGTCCAACCGCGCCAGCTATGGAATCTGCCCACCATCACGACGACGAATAGCCTGGCGCACTGCACGCCCTTCACCCTGCCCTCCGCCGGCGTGCTGTCGCTGGGAGACGACACCGTCATCACCCTCACCACAGATGTCATCTTCCAGCCCGAATGCACTGGCGGGCCCCAGGCTGGCGATGTCTTCACCGTCGACCACCTCAGAGACCCCTTCTATGCGTCGACCATCCCCATGGTCTATGTCGTCAGCGCGGCGACCGTCATAGCATGGGTCTTGGTGATCATGCTTACAATCACGCCGAGAACCGGTTTCTTTGGCGCACCGGGAGCACCAGCGTTTAGCAATGGGCATGGCATAATCGGAGGCGCCAACGGAGGCGTCATGGGTGTGACAGGAACAGGATCAAGACCATGGTTACAGAAGATTGCGGCGCTGGCCGTCGCGATTTCCCTCACAATCGCGACGGCCGACACGCTCGACGTGGCGGAGAAACAATATGGGAAAGGCTACTCAGACGCGAACCTGCTGCGGAAAGAAGTGCTGGGTTCGTTGGAAATACGCATCACACGAGTGGTATCGGACATCTTCCTTTGGCTCGCACAGGTTCAAACTTTGATACGCCTCTTTCCGAGACACCGAGAGAAGGTCCTGATCAAATGGATTGGATTTGTTCTCATCATGTTCGACACGATCTTCTCGTGTCTGAACTCGTTCCTGATCAACAGCGCCCTCCAAGGACGGAATATCGTGGATGCGATACCTGCACTATCATACCTATTCGAACTGGCCCTTGGACTTCTATACGCGGCATGGGTCTTGTACTACTCCCTCACGAAACGAAGATACGCCTTCTACCACCCGAAAATGCGTAATATATTGCTGGTGGCATTTCTGTCCATCGTGTCGATCCTGACACCGGTCGTCTTCTTCATCACGGATGTGTCCAATCAGGACGTTGCTGGATGGGGAGATTACTTTCGCTGGGTCGGCGCCGCAGCTGCAAGTGTGGTCGTATGGGAATGGGTTGAGCGAATAGAGGCTCTAGAACGGGATGACAAAAAGGACGGAATTCTGGGGCGAGAGATTTTCGACGGAGACGAGATGCTGGATGTGATTCCCGACCAAGATGTGGCCTGGACTGAGAGCCGCAATCTCAGAAGAAACTTCCGGAGACGGCGTGACGATGGACCAGACGGCGGTGGCAATACGTCCAGCGCCATGGAACGAGGGCATGGACTCCACGGAGTCACCCAGCGATTCCGATCACGACACCAACAATCGCCATCCCACTTTCCTCTTGGACGGGCACATTCAGCTTCTGTGCCTACTAGCCGCGATAATATCAGACCTGGAGATCCCACCGATGCCACAGGTCAAAACACTGCGATACTCGGAGGACCAACGCCACCTCCTCAGGTTGCTAGTCCTGTGAGCCGGACAGACACTACCAGTGCAGCAAGCACGGTCTATGTCGTACGATATCATCCAATAGCCGATGTGCCTCAGCCTATTCGCAGGAGAGCGAACCCTGAACGAAGTGCGACGACGAGACCAGCCGCGCAGCGGCGAAGAACAGAAAACCAAGAATACTCTGAGAAGGACGTGATCGAGGGCGAAGAAGACGTGCAACCCAACATTAACCGAGGGAACCGCCTATGGAACGTGGTGCCAAATCCTTTCAAGAGGAAACGCACCTCTCCTCCCACCGAAGTGCAAAGGGCACGCCAGGCCGCAGGTCAGAGAGTGCCAACCCCTGGTAAGGAGTCATCTCGTTGGGATGTCAGGAACCGGTTGGGTACAATGGCTTCTGAGGCAGGGGAGAAAGTGCGAGAAAAGACGGAACGACGGCCTGAGCCCGATTTACCCGTGACCGTAATTCCAGCACAGCCCCGAGGCAGTAACCGCACCTGGAGCCCTGCCGACCGCACACAAAGGATGAACGTACTGCGACCCATTGATACAGATCAACGCCCGCCAGCATCGCACGGTTCTGATCAGTCGGGCGATACTGGCTCGACAACTCTGACGGCGAACAGTCAGCCTGTGCGATCGTCCCGACGGCCTGCCGTGCAGCGAGGCGACCACGGTGCTGCCAACGCTGTCATCGCGACGCAGTCGCCTGTGGAGTACGTGTCCCCCAGCAGGAATGGACCTCCGAGAGCGGACGATATCAGTCCAGTCAATGGGCGGAATGCTGGGACTATTGTAGTCCCAGCACCTCCGCGGCGAACACCTACACTTCAGACAAATACACCACCTATACGAAATGGTGCAAGTAGGAATTCAGGCATGGCAGCCTCGGGCTCGAACAGGAACACGCCATCGAATGACAATAACGATGCGGCGAATGGTGCGTAGAGCGGGTCATCGGGTTCGCATTTCACGGCTTTGGGTTGATGTACTTCTTCATTATTGATTTAGCGTGGCGCTGGCGGTATATACCCTCACCCAACTTTTCTGGGTCAGGGGGTCATGAGGTTTCGGAACGATATTTGTGGCATTTCATGGACGGCGGAAAAAGGCTACGGCTTTTATATGACGGCGCGCAAAATTTGGAACTTCTCGTACGAGCGAGTGGGACATGTGTTTTGTTTCACGACATTTGTTCGTCTGATGAAACAGGAAGAGATGGATTGGCATTTTCTGTAGATAAAGCGAAGACACTTTCGGAGTGTCTTGTATATATGTCGATACCAGACGACAATTTACTACTGAGAACAATTGGCTTGATTCGCATTTCTCGTTTTGAGGATCAGTAATCGCTATTTCCGTACATCACCCCTTCTCACCTCTCCTCGGTAGGGGTATAATGTACACCGCTCTCGCAGAATATCACTAGTATGCGCTCATGACTTTCAACCCAATGACAGTCTCCCCTCTCCTCCTTCTCCTCTCCTCTCTCTGCTCCCTCCCCTTCCTCTCACCTCTTCACACTTCGCATGCAGTCTAGATTAAGATTGCGACATGCTAGAAACGGAACGATATTCAAGCAATTGCAAGCGTTGATCCAAGAAAGATAAAGAACAGTCCAAAATAAAGTAGTAGATTACACACCCAAGAACGCTATGCACAATGCCGCACAGAAACATGAATGTGCGGCTCCCGAGCAAGAGCACGCCAACAATCGATCCAAGGAGCAGAGGCGCGATACCCGCTGTTCCACTTCGAGCCGCGACCTGTTGACCATGTAGCAAGGGCAGTGATGCCCATCTCCCCCGCCAACTTGTCGTCGCTCCATCCCGTTCACAGTCTCTAACTCGCCTTGACAGCCAACCCCGCCGGAACACTCGCACTCTGCAAAATATGCTTAAGAGAGTCAGATCCATACTCCAACCTCTTCTGCTTCCCACCACCTCCTCCACCTCCACTCTCCTCCTCCTTCTTCTTCGTCCCCGGCGGAGGCCCACAATACCGTCCATGATGATCCATATGCCCGCTCGCCACAGCAGTATTAACAACCGCATTCGCACTCCTCTCCACAGCTTTCGTACTCCTCTCCACAGCCCTCGCACTCCTCAAACTCGCATCCGCCGCGCGTTCCGCAGCATCCGCACTCCGATGCGAAGCGTCTGCAGAGCGATTAGAGCCTTTGGCAGAAGATTGGGATGCGAGGGCGGATTTCCAGGTTGGGTAGACGGCGATGATTGTTGCGGCGGAGGCGAGAGTGGCCCAGAGGGTTTTCTTTTTGAACCAGGGTTTGTCTTCTAGGGGCATGAGCATGTCTTCTTGCGGTGGAGGGGGTGGAGGGTCGGCGCGGTGGCCCCGTGGAGAAGGGGACCGGGAGTAGGAGTAGCGTCTTCGGCGGCGACGGTGGCCGCCGCGGGATCGTGATCTTCGACGGGGAGAGGGAGACCGGGAGGACATGGAGGATGAGGAGGAGATTCTGATTGGGTGGGTGTGTCGTCAGTACTGCAGTACGTATACGGGTGGAAGATGGGAAGGGTAGGGTCTCACCTGGACAGCTGATCGCGGCTAGAGTAGGCGCTGTCGTAGCTCTGCCGATGGTATGGCGAGGGTCTCGACCTCACGTATGGGTCTCTTGGATCTCTTCCTCGTTCGGGCATGGCTATTGGCGATCGCTGCGAAGTTGTTGTTGCATGAAGAAGGTGAAGTCGACGAGAGTTGGAGGTGAGTTCGGGTGATGACTGCGACGCGCACGGGCGACACGATACTTGTTATAGATCTGGGAGAGCCAACCCGCCAGTGGGGGCTGGCTGCGTTATCTCGACCTCGGGCGGAAGTCGAATGCTACCACCTTGACCATTGTGGCTTGCTAGTGGACACGAACAGGCGTGACATCATGTCGTGGGGTTTTGTGGTAAATGCAGGCCATCATCCAGGCATTCAGACGAACGAGTCCAAGTTTCCACGATGCTCAGCCATCGTGGCCAACAATAGACTTCGTAGGGAGTATCCGGGTAGATGCGCACAGGGTTGGCCGCGTGTGTGGGCTTCACGATGTCGTCGATGTTGTGTGTTTCGAGTGATCGCAATGGCTGGAAAGTGAAGCTGGTAGCGGGTGTGATCGATGGGTTACCCCAGCTCATATGTGTCGGAAGCCCAGACGTGAAGGCTAATCCCTGCATGGAGTTCTGTGAAACTGCCCAATATGAGGGTGACACATATTTCGGTTTGGTCTGGTGCCGCACACGCGATCCAAATTACAACTCCGACATGCACCGAATTTCGAAGATCGGAGCACGTCTTACTGCGATGTTGGTGAGATTGCTGAAGAGAGCGCTTTCCAAATTGAGTATCACAATCCAACCTGCCCGCTAACGCGAGAGAGAACGACACAGCCATTGACTGATCTTTGCTATGCGCATTGTCTCCTCATTTGCTCCAGCTTGCATATCTGAGATCTGTCCGTGAAGCCCATTGCTGGTGGGCGACGCAGACGTGATGACGCGCATTGGGCCCGAGTTCTCGTTCGGCGGCAGTTGCTGCGCAAACAGCTCAGCAAACTGCAAGGAACAGGCATAGATGTGCCCACTTTCTTCAGTTGATGTCGCCCGCTGCCGTACTGTCGTGCTTCGGTCCTCGCGTCGAGTCAGCTGCAACGCATCACGCATGAGCGTTGCCGTGGATTTCCATTCGCCGACTAGCTGTAATAGCATGCCGCTCTCGCGCTGAAGAGCCACTACCATTGGTAGATCTACATATTTATCCTCTGCGGGCTCGTTCGGAGCTGAGAATCCAATTGTACAACGCCGTATGATACGTCTGGCGATCTTGAAGGAGGCGCGGGCTCAGCTTACGCATGCAATTTGCACAATTTCCGTCCCGGAGATGGTCAGATGTATATATTGGCACTGGCTTTGTTGTCAGCGATTGGCAAGATGCTGGCGTCAAGAGCAAAGACTCATGCAAGCTCCATTGCCCGCTGACGACTTCACTCGCTTCGTCATTATTGAGTCTAGACTCGAAAGCAGTCCCTTGAGGCGAGGCCGGAAACCACGGATTGACTCGACCCTTACCTGCCTGCTTTCGATAAGTGCCTCGCCATGCCAACATGCAAAACGCTGGAAAACTGGCGGAGGTTTCTTCACGACTGCACTCCGGGCAAGCATCGAGGCCTCCTGCTGCACCTACCTTCCCTAAGTCCATCACTCCGATATTGCGGTTCTTGTTCTTGCACTTGTCGCCGCATAGGCTGCATGCTGTCTTTGCTCGTAGCGAGTCTGCACCAAGCATTCATTCAAGGCTGGGTTCATCTGTATGTTGCGACTCGCTTCAGGGCGACCTGAATGCTATGCTCGCGGTACGCGAGGTTGAGGGTGCTTTCTGCACGCACCCAATGCAATGCGTCTTTTGCACCACGCAGCTCGAGAGCATGGCGCTTCATCACCGTTTCGCCTGTGAATGTTCAGATCACTGCCTCGCTGATGTATCCGTCTCTTCGAGACACAGCTCGCGGAACCGCAGGCCTGAGTGCCCGCTCATCGTCAAGAGCTTGCCATGGTGAGGCCGTACTTCTTGAGCTGGTTCGGGTGTTTTCGTCCGCGTACGGAGTCGCTAGTTAGGCGAGGCATCTCATGTCTCGATGACGGTCTCAGGCTCGTGCAGTATCGCCAGCCGCGTCGCAAGCGTACACCGCGATGCGGCATGTCCGGCACGCGTGCATTCGTGGCTCGCACGCGGATGGTGGGAAGAGGCGAAGTTGATGTTCGGCGCAAGCCAACGACGCAACTCCCTCGCAGCACGTGTTGCCCAATTTCCCTCCGACGCCGACCTCCGCTTTGCCATCAACACCTCGCTTGCCATTAAAAACAATGCTTCACAGCCAGATCGGCTGCCGCTAGCAGGACACAACTACAGATCGCCTTCGCACAACCATCCAGGTCTCGGAGTCTCGCTGCACAAGGTCAACAAACGGAATACGTGAGCAGAATCCGCCTTTACACTTAGCATGAAGCTAACGACCGGGGCAGCCCATCGAAGGCGTTTGAAGCCTCGCAGCTCAATTTCACTCATGGCGTAGCATCTGGCGACCCATACCCAGACAGCGTGATCTTGTGGACGAGACTCGCGCCCATCACAGCGTCGAACGATACCGCAAGCAACGCGACTGTCAGCGGTTATGTTCCACTTTACAATCACGGCCCAAAGCAAGTGTCTACAGCTCCCGTCTGTGCGGAGTGGAGGATGGCCAGAACACCGGACTTCGAGCATGTCGAGAGTAGCGGCACGGCATACACTTCCAGCGATATTGACTACACGATTAAGGTTGAAGCTGGCAACTTGACTTCATGGACAAGATACTACTATCAGTTCAACGTTTGTGGGAGCAACAATACCAGTCCGCTAGGCCGTACCAAGACAACACCATATCCGCACGATTACGTGGACAACGTCGGACTTGCGGTGTACTCTTGCAGCAACTTTCCATTTGGCTTTTTCAATGCTTATGGGAACCCAGTTCGCAAAGATTCCGTGGACTTTGTTCTACACTTGGGAGACTACATTTACGAGTACGCTGGAGACGGAGACTATGGATATGGACAGTCCATTGGACGTGTGCCGAAGCCAGAAAGCATCATATACACTCTTGATGACTACCGACAAAGGCACGCCACTTATCGCACTGACGAGGATCTGCTGCTGTCCCATCAAACGTATCCTTGGATTCCGACCTGGGATGATCACGAGGTATGCACTGCTGAGCGACCATGTGCCATGATTCATTGACTTATGACTGTCAGGTTTCCGACAATACATACCGCGACGGCGCTTCCGAGCTGAATAACACTGAGGCTTCATTCGTCCAGGATGGTGGTGTATCTGTTGACCAGCGCAAGATGAATGCTGTCCGGGCTTACTTCGAATGGATGCCAATTCGACAAGTCGAGATGGACGACAATCTTCGCATCTGGCGTAGCTTCCAGATTGGCTCGCTGTTCGACTTGATCATGCTTGACACTCGACAGTACGATCGCTCGATCACCGACTTGTACTGGAACACGTAAGTCATGCAAGATCGATCAACACCGAGATCTTCTATTCTGACTAGGTGGCAGCGACTACATCCACTCTATCTCCAATGACGCCGGCAGATCCATGATGGGCTCTCGCCAAGAGAACTGGTTCTACAACTCCCTGGGCGAGTCTGCAAACAGAGGGGCAAGATGGCGAATCATCGGATCGCAGACAGTGTTCTCGCGCATCAACGAATCTGTGTCCTACGGAAACGTCAATCCACTTGACTACGACGCCTGGGACGGATATCAAGCCAACCGCAACAGGACCTTGAACTACCTCACTGAGAACAACATTGGCAACAATATCGTGATAAGCGGCGATAGTCACGCTAGCTGGGTCTCAGATCTTGCTTGGCTGGACCATTCGAACTACTCCGCTGACACCGGTGCTGGAGCCCTTGGAGTCGAGTTCGCCGGCTCAGCTGTATCATCGCCATGTCCTTATGGCCAGAACATCACACAGCTATCAGCCAACAACTACTCCGATGCCCTCGAAGCGGCGAACGCTGAGCTTCACTGGAACGACGTATACTATCGCGGTTACTTCGAATTGCACATCAGCTACGATGAAGTCAACGCGAGCTATTTCGGACTACCTACAATTGTGACGAGAAATCCACTGGAGATCGGCCTGGCCAACTTCACTGTCAAGACTGGGGAGAATGCTCTGCAGAGGCCGATTGCAGGAGGTATTGCCGAGAGCGGAAGCTTGAAGGGAGGATCTATTAGGCAGACCAATATCACGAACAATACCGAAACAGGACAGTGGACAATCAGCATGTTCAACCAGGAGGATATCTAGAGCAGATGCCAGCATAATCTGCGACCACGAGAACTTGTACATAGCCACGAAGAAGAAGATGAATCGCAATGCTACAGAAGCATGGAAGACTGCATGATTGTTCTAAAGCGATGCTAATGCATTCCATAGCATGGTGCCTGCCAAGTTTAGCCGGCGGAGTGACGTAGCCAGAAAGCGATGTTTCAGGATGCGACTTCCAGCGACCGCCTTCGCCAATGCTTCAACACCCTCGCTTCGCAGGCGCCAACGAGCGTGAGAATGGCCCTGCCACTGCGGCTGCAGAGATAAGTGAAAATATTTCCCATGTCATCCTTCACCAACATCACACCTCATCCTTGACCGCAGCCTGGCGCTGGCCGCCAGACCTGATTCAATACCCTCACATACGGCCCTCATCTACACCTCATCATGCGTCCTCTCATTTTGTGTCTGAGCGCCTCAGCAGCCGCTACTACTCATCACTTCAACAGCCACCTCGAGACACGACAGAGTAACGGCAGCATACAAATCGCAATCGTGAACAAATGTCCTGATATCATCTGGCCTGGGATCGCGGAGAACGACGGCGAATCATCTGATGGGTTCGAACTGGCAGCCGGGAGCAACAGAACGATATCCGTCGCTGCAGATTGGAAAGGTCGCATCTGGGGCCGAACGAATTGCACGTTCCCCAACGGCGAGAACCTGCCTGGCAACTGCCTCACAGGAGAATGCGGCGCCCTCAAATGCCGTCAAGCAGGCAACCCACCCGCAACCCTCGCAGAATTCGACATGTACGGCGCAGCAGAACAAGCCTATTACGACATCAGCCTCGTAGACGGCTACAACCTGCCCATGGCAATCGTTCTCGAACCCAACAACGTCCCAACCCTAGCAAACGTCAAACTCAGCGACAAAATCCCCTCTTGCGTCGGCAGCATCGATGGCTTCGCCTCCGCCGCAGATTTCAACCCCTACTCCAACAACCAACAATTCCTCGGAACATCCAACACCGACCAACTCCCCTTCGAAACAAAAACCACCGCCCAGTTCATCGGCTCCTGGTGTCCCTTCGACCTCCTCGTCACCCCACCAAAAGTCCCGGGAAATGGCGTCTACCCTTACCCTGACGGGAATATCAAGAGACCGGATTTCAGCCCTTGCAATTCGGCGTGTCAGAAATATGGGAGGGCTAAGTACTGCTGTACGGGAAGATACGATCGTGGGAATTGTGATCCGAATTATTATGCCAAAGCGGCCAAGGCTGTTTGTCCGGATGCATATTCGTATCCGCATGATGATACGAAGAGTGTTTTTGGGGTGGCGAGGGGTGGGAATTGGCAGGTTGTGTTTTGTCCGGGAGGGAGGAGTACGAATATTTTGGCGACGGTGGCTGGGAAGGCGGGTTGAAATGGAGAAGGGGAGGGATTGTGTTGGAGGTTTGTGTGATGCAGTTTTTGATACCCCTTTATTTCATAACTTTTCTGTATGTCAAGGTGCTTGGCTCATCGATTCAAGCATGGCATCGTGGGGCTGGAATAAGCCTGAACGAAATTGAGGGTGATTCTTGAGGATCGGGGCTGTAGTGTGCACGTGGTCTAACTTCATCACGTCCTGTGGAGACATGTGAGGAGAAATAGAGCAGAAAAGTGGTTACATTGGGAATTGGTTATTACTGAATATGCGAAGTCCACGGCATGTTCAGCACCTTCAAGTCGCAAACCTTGGGGTTTCTTCTTCTTGCGAACACTGATTTGAGAATTGCTCGTTTCGTCTCTAATGCTTGTCGTGGTTGAACGCTTCTTTCAGAGCCTCTCTCAGCTCAGTCTACGCACCGTTCCATTCTATACGCCGCCTTTGACAAACCCAGCACGTCCTCAAAACTAGAGTCCCCGCGCAGTGTCCGTCCCCCGCTTTGGAAAAGCAGGATGCTCGAGTCCAATATCGATCAAATGAGATGGCCCAAGGCTCCACTCCAAACTCTCAAGGCCCAACTCCTCAGCGAAACTGACCATGCCTTTCCTCAGATGCATGAGAGAGGAGCGCTCACCTCTCTCGTCTCTCTCGATCACCTGTCTCGCAATTTCGTCTCGGGTCTTGCATACGTGATGGGTACTAAAGAGCGGCAACCCAAACTTCCGAGTGTCGAAGAGAGAGCCGAGTTGATATGGTTCTAGGAGTTTCCACTTCTTTGAGACGTTGTCGTATTCTTCGAAAACCATAATCTCGCTGTAGAGAATTGATTCGGTTTCGAGCTTCATCTGGCGGCAAGCGATGAGGAATTCAGGGGGTGTGATTCGATCGAGGGATCCGTGTAGTTGGCTGGCGCAACTCCATGATGTGCAGGTGTAGGGATTTGGGGCTTGGAGGTTGGAGAGACGAACTGGTTTCCCTCCGCTCAGAGTGGCGACTTGGTGTTCGATGTCTTTGGTGAGGGCCATGCGCCAGATTTCGTTGCGGAGCTCGCCGGGGAGGCGCAGGAGTGGTGATTGCGAGTTCTCGAGTTGAGTTGGAAGGGGACTCGACGACTCGAGTTTGTCGAGAGTTGATTCTGACGCCATCTTGTTTTGTAGAAGAGCTAGTCGGGTCAGAAAGGTATTGCCGCTGTGGTTATACGGACTGGAGGCACCTTCTTCGCTGTGTAGTCTATGGATCCAAGTATTCTGCGATCGGGGTGGTGAGTATCGAAATGAGTGGCAGAACCTGGGTCATAGTTGTAGTATTCAGGTGCTGTTCAGGTGCGAAGAGCTGTGCCTCCATTCACTTGTCTCCAGAATCTCATTCACTAAGTTGTGCCTCCATTCACCTGTTTTCAGGGTGTCATTCACTGTGTCCATTCACCCCAGGATTGGAAATGAGAACTTCTGCTGATGTTGAATGTAGAACAAAAAGGTGGAAGGTTACTTGAAGCATCTCTTGAACTGTGATCGATTCAAGGCTAGCATAGTCGCAACATGCTCGAGTGTTACGATCTATCTTTCCTTCCCGCTTTTCTACGTCGTGCGGTCTGTTTGGTGCTTCTCCATATCATAACTCTCCAAGTCTCTTCTCCGATACGCGCGCTTCTCCACCCGTTCTGGAGACATTGCAGTCACCAAAAACGCCTCTACAATGCTTGTCGTCTGTGACTAGGCTACCAACGCCTAAAGGTACGAGACGTCACTGGAACCGCAGAAGGGTGATGGTGAGACTGCCCCAGCGCCCACTGCAAACTGCCCAGGCTCAGCTCCTCATTGAAGCTCACCATACCAGCTCTCTTGAACCGCCCGGCCTTCGCCTCGCGCTCTATGACTTCTCTCGTATTGTCTTTCTTCTCGCCTCTGCACAAGTGGTACATGGCAAAGACCGGTAGACCGAATTTTCGCGTGTTGAAAAGTGAGCCGAGATGGTAGGGCTTGAGGGTCTTCCATTTGTTGAACAAGGCGTCGTATTCCTCGAAGAACATGATCTCGGTGAACAAGATGGACTCGATCTCGAGTTTCATTTGGCGGCAAGTGTTCAGAAACTGCGGTGGTGTGATGGTGAGGGTTCTTTTTAACGGTTGAAAGCAATCGGTCCAGGCCACACAATCGCGCGTCTTGTCCGTCCTGAGATGTCCTTTCTTGGCTACTTGGTCTTTGATGTCCTCGATAAGCGCCATGTACCAGATGCGGTTGCGTAGCTCGGCAGGAAGGCGAAGAAGTGATTGTTTGGAATTCTTCAGTGACGACAGGCGGAGTTCAAGGGATTCGAGTTCGGTGATAGTCAGGCCAGCTGCGGCAGCGATTGCCTGTGCGACTCCTGAACTGTTCATGCTAGCCTGTCAACTAGTCAGCGGGTTTGAACAGGCTACGGCGCTGTGATCATACCGACTTGAGGAGCTCGTCGATAGCGGCTACTCTGTAAGTACAGTTGGCTGTAGGAGGAGTAGTGAGTTTCAAGCTTATAAGAGTAGCAAGACTCTGGTCAGTCTTATAGTAGTGACGCCCCAAGAGCCAAGCCTGCATTCACCTCTCTGCTGGGCATCATTCACCGTGCTCATTCACTCCGAAATCAATGCCGATACCGAAGAGCCCGTAAGCAGTATGGTTTGGGGCATACGAACAAGGTCATCGCGCTGCTGAGTACTGAGTTGCTCGTGTATACATTGGATTTGTTCAGCGTATAGAAAGTGTATTGTTTTCTGCTTGAAGCAGTCGCAGCATCTCCTGTCTTTCTCTGATTACTGCTCGTAGAAATCAATCTCGGCTTGTGTCGAGGTCTCCGTTGGGTGGCAAGCCATGACCATGTGTCGTAGAAAGCAATGCCTTAACTGTCCAGGCCCGTCAATAGCCTAAAGTTGTGGCGAGAGCTCTATCGTCATACCAAGAACATGTCGTTGCGAATTGGTGTTCCTGTGGATGCTGCTTCCGTCACAAGGTACGGGTTTCCAATCGACCACCCCAAGTTCTCCAACTTGAGCTCCTCCGCAAAGCGAACTCTGCCGCCTCTTCTCGCTGGTGGGTACCGTCGTGGATCGAAAGTCCGGGTAGTTCCAAAGCCCACGACTACCAATGTCTTGATGTCATTCGCGCGATATTCCTTGCGGAGTTTGAGCAATGGCACGCCATGCTTGCGGATGTTGAATAGGCCTCCCATCTGGTAAGGCAGCAGTTGTTTCCATGTCCGAAACAAATGGTCATATTCGTCCCATATCATAACCTCGTTATACAAGATAGATTCGACTTCAGTCTTCATCTGTCGGGTCGTGTTGTGAAACGTGGGCAAGGCGATGATTTTTATTTCTCGTTGGAACATCATGTCTTTGAAAATGTTGCCAACGTGATCATCACCGAAGGCACGACGATCAGCGACCTCGCGAAGGATGGCAGCTGTGCTTGTGCCGGTTGTCAAGGCCTTCTCTTTTCTCTCCTGTGCTATTGACACGGCTTCGTCCCTAAATGTCTCATGTTGAGATCGAATGTCTTCGATCAGAGCCATCCGCCAGATGCGGTTACGTAGCTCTCCAGGGAGACGAAAGAGCGGAGTCTTGGAGTTCCGGATCTCGATTAGGCGGCACGAGGCAGTCTCCAGTTCGCTGAGACTGAGAGCGTCGGCAGAGGCGAGCAGCTGAGCGATGAAGTCGGCGGCCATGGCTGTTTAATGTCATCAGCGAGTGCAAGAGGACGAAAGCAATCAACGTCTTACCTGCCGTCGCATGTGCTTGACTGGCAGACTTCGCAAGGACTTGGTAGAGTTGAGTGTATAGCAGTTGCCGCTGGCGCAAATGGTTTCGGCAAGCTTCAGTTTCTGCAGCTAGCATTTTAGCGTGACAATCACATGCAAGCACGCAGCCGCGCTCCACATTCTCACTTCTCGCTTCACATTGCACATCAGTTGAAAGTATATGGCTACATCGATGCACAAGCTCGAAAAGGGGTAGTCTCTTTGCCCGTGCGGAGAAGTGACATTCCCACTGGCACGAGAACACTCTCATCGCAGTTCTAGAAGGAACCATCGACTCTGACTACGCTCTGGAGCAGATACGGACGCCGGAATACTTAATGCCGCAACAAAGACGCGTTTGACCTTTGCAGCTTGCTTGATTGAAACCGACGGTGACTGAAGCAGTGAACAGGAGCAAGTACAAAGATGTCGAATCCCTGACTCCGGCCGCAACGACAATATACGGCGCCCAATGTCCTGCCGCGGTAGACACCGCTGCCTCCATTCGCGACTGCAACTGGGAAACTAAGAACATCGAACAGACGCGTTGCGCCTAACACATTGCTCCTTCCCAGTTTCAACATTCCCTCAAGAACGTCCCAAGGAGACAGAGGCGCTACCCAGCCCGCACCGTCATACTTCAAGCATGCGGATGCTTCACTGCCTTCTTCCCAGCAGCTGAAGGAGACATCCCTCCATCGCAGGTCGAACCTTTCTCGATTGTGCCATGACCCAAGCAACACCGATCACCTCCAGCCAATTTATCCAGCCATGCCCTGTAACCTTTATCAGCGAACTGCGCATAGCAAAAAGCAGGAAAAAAACTGCACTCACATGTCATTGGCGGTGCCAGTACCACCGCAATAAGCGTAATTCACATCCTCGCAGAATCGTTGATTCTGGTCCCAATCGCATTTGAAAACTCCGTCCGCGCACCATTTCGTGGGCGGTTTAGAGGGATCTGGGTAGCAGTCGAAGGCCAAGGATGAGGCGAGGAGGAGACTGAGGGAGGAAATGATTGAGGACTTCATATTTGTGTTGGTACGGTGCTTATTTGGATTTGTGGCTTGGAAATAATGATGATTCGAGTGGTAGTGGTCGCCGAGTCGCTGTCTTGTTGCATCTCTGGTATGATTGGAGCAGTTGTTATATAGATATTGAGACGGAAGACTGGCTTGAGTGTCGCCGTTCTGCTTCTGGCTAACCGCTCGACGCTCATGGCCCACTGAGTCGGATACATTCGTATTTGCGCGCTAAAATGGCGCTGAGCGTCGGATCCATCGTACTCTGTCCTGTCGGTCGCTTGTCTGCGGGGTGCTTTGACGAGGAAGAAGTGAGTTGAGCACAGCGGTAGCCAGACTCTGTGCAACTATTATTACCCGAGGCACCGGATAGCAGTGTATACTCTAGAACGTAGAATGGAAGTCCCTGCTGAGACAATCAGTTGACAAACTAACAAGACCGCCTGACAGTAATCAAATTATATAAGCATGCAAAGGCTATTACAGTAAGATTTAGCCTTTCCGCTTGAACAGCTAGGGCTCACATACATCTCAACCTAGGCAGCTTAGTCCAAACCACGTCAACCCATACTGCGCAAAAACCTAACCACAATCATACGCAACCAAGATCCCAAATTGGTACAACGCTTGGCATGTCGACACAACACCACCTGCCATTCACCCTCTCCACCCAAACCACAGCCTCCCATCCCAACTCCTTCGAAAAGCTAACCCGTCCAATCCTCTGCCTCCTCCTCCTAGTCCGAACATCATGCAGCGCAAACATTTCGATTCTCGTTCTCGAAGCAGTCGACGGGTCATCCGGTTCCGGCAAATACACATGCACCGCTGACCTCCCGTCCCATCTTTTCAAGTGCAAAAGTGTAGTCAAGAACTCGCCGTTATGTGATGTCCACTCCTCCCAGTTGTGAGAGTACTCTTCCCAGCGCATGAGATTGTACCAGATAGATCCGCATTCCGTTCGCATGAGGTTGCAAGTGGTGAGGAGATTTTTGGGGTAAAGTGCTGGAAGGAGGGAGATGGATTCGGATCTTTCGGGTCTTCGTGAAAATACGAGTGAAGATTCGATGGTGACCCAGCTGGGACGTGGTAAGGAAGCGCGACTTGGACTGCTATTCGTTGAAGTGTAGTCGGTAAGCTCGACCCATTCGGCTTCGTCATGCTTCCTGTTGCGCAGAAGCTTGTCGTGGTTATCTTGCATCGTCTGCACGATGGCGTATTGCCATATCATGTCTCGGATTTCGCGTGGGAGAGCGAGGAGCGGACAGTCTCTATTCGCTACTGAGGCCGCGACCGCGTAGTCTCGCCAGAGGTAGTTGATCCTTGCGCTGAGTCTGTCCATGTTGTATGCGAGGGCGATTGGACGCTCTGAATCAGTGTCTGCTCGATGGTCTCGTGATGAAGATAGTTTTGAGGTGTGCTGCAGGCTGCGGGTCCAGTGATATAAAATGGTTGCGGATATCAAGAACTTGGGTCCTGCCAAGCTCTCTGTCCATAACTTACCAATATGCTTTGTTGAGTCACGTTGTGCTTAAGAGTCTCTTCGGCGTATCACAGCCATCGCGGTACCTTCGCGTCATCATACTTTGCGTCCTTCTCCTTCGCCGCCCGCCAGTAATCCGACTCTTGCTCAGCAGCGCACTGGGCACAGATGTCGACCGAGCAGCCAGGGCGGTCGCAGACATACCACGAATTGCAGAGCGGCTTTCCGCATTCCCAGCATCCGGACGTCCAGAACCTCTCGGTCTTGTAAAGTTCGTGTTGGTCGAAGGAGCAGTTGGGTCGAGGGGTTTCCAGGGCCATGGTGCTTCCTTTGGTAAGTTTTAGATTTTGAGCTCGTGTGGCGGATATGGCTGGATTCATATTTGTACTGGTTGCAGCCTCGCGACATCGATACACAATCTGCAGAGTCTTGTCTGTCCTGGACGCGCTCGGAAGAATCAGCTCTGAAACTAGACAACAACAGTTCAAAGCCAGACATGATCTCGAACTTGACTGCTGCAAGACTGTCTCGCGCACAGTGATGCAGAACACCACGACTCCCAGACGAGACGCGGTTCGTACAAATGCAGCTGCACTCAGCTGCGACACTGCTTCAGCTGCGCACCGAGTGCTTTGTGATCGAAAAGCTGCACGTGACATCACTTGAGACGGCGTGGCAATGGCGATGAATTTGTCGGCATAGGCACTGCACGAACGTTAGTCATCGAATCTTAGAGGAGGCGACACAAAGGCGATGAACATGACAGGAGAAGAGAGTCTTTGTGAAAAGGGCATTGGCAAATAGGTGAACACAGGGAGAGAAGCAGTCAGTGGTCGCCCGCGAACCCATTTCATTCTCGAAGCTGTCTGGTTCTGTTGGTCGCAAATACCCTAGTTAGTTTCTACCTGTCTCTCTTGGGTATGAATGGCCAGCCGGATGGCAATACTTTCGCTCGAGAAATCAGGCACGTCCTGCGCCGCGTCCTTGTGGCAAGGCTGCGCACGGGGCGCCAGTCGTCGTATTTGGTCAAGTTCCACATCGAAGCATTCCGGAAGAGCTCTTCTCCAGGGGCCAAAGAGGGAGGGCCGAGAGCTGCAAATGTGACATCCACAGGTGCCGTCTACGTTCTGTCGTGGTCGGTCGTCTAGGTCGTGCTTTTGTGCGCCGGGCTTCTTCCCAATGCCGGGTATCTCGTAGGTCTCATGCTGGACTTAGAATTGGTCTACAGACACGGATCGTCAGTAAGTTTTCCCTATCCTCTTGTCACGACGTATACGTACCCAGAGTCATGCTCATCGACACGTCCGTGTTCTCCACCATCTTGGTAAACTCCTCAAAGCTGATCTTCCCGTCTCGGTCCAGATCGGCCTCCATAATTGTCTTGTCCACTATTTGCTGCAACTGTTGATCCTTCAAGTTGCTGCCCACCATCATCTTGAGCACAATGAAGAGCTCGCCATTGCTGATGTAGCCGTCCCTGTCGATATCGTAGACTTTGAAGGCAAACCGCAACTTCTCCTCCTTGTTCCCTTTGCTGCTGAAGGCGCTGAGGCCAGAGACGAACTCCTGGAAATCGACGTCGCCGCCTCCGTCTTCGTCGAAGATGGCAATCATTCGTGTCGCAAGAGGGTTCGAGGAGACTTGGGGGAGGGAAAGGAATTCGTCACGCTCGATGGTGCCTGAGTTGTCCTAGGCGGAGTCAGAAATTGACACAACGCATTGAGTGCATTTGGCATACCTTGTCCAATTTCATGAAGCGCTTACGCAGTCTGTCGACTTCGTCCCGGTCGACTATGCGAATGTATAGTCAGCGCCGTGTTCAGCTGGCCTCCATTTGGGCACGGAAATATGCGGCGCGCGGAAAGTCGTACAATTCGACCCTTGGACGATGTTCTCCAACATCGCACTGTTTGCGTTGCCCATCTTGCCGTCGTTTCGGAGCGGTATTGAGTGGTGGCGGAGGTGTGAATGTATGTGCTGTGCAGCGGGGAGTGGAAATGGGGTCCTGAGGCCAGATCGGTCCAAGCTTCGTGCACGATCTAGCCGAGATTAGTGTCATCGAGCATGGGTGTGTAGGCCGCCAGCAACATCAACATTGACAGCACGTCTGAGCTTGCGGAGACTACTTGACACTATACGACCATGTCTGGCCACTTGGAGGACGCTGCCATACAGGCGGCCGAGACGATTCAGACCGCGCACATCAACCACAACCCAACCAGGCACGACCTCGCACCACAAACCTCGGTCGACTCCAAGATCCCCGTCGAGTTCGATCGCTCTGGTGATGTTGCCTCTGTCGCCGATGACGTTGGCGAGGACGAAGTGCCCTTGAGCATATTGCGCCCACTGCCCGATGAAGAGAGACATGCGCCGAGACATTTGCAATTGCCCGATCTTCGATTTGAGCAAAGCTATCTAAAGAGCATCGAGAAGGCTGAGGATTGGAGAATGGTGGTATACATCACAATGAAGGATCAGGTCAGGCGTTCGCATACTGTTGATTGAGAGCGTTGGATTGATCTATATTGCAGGTCCTCATGCCCCTGGTTCAAGGCCTGGCGTGGTCATTGATCGTGGCTGGGTATGCTCATCACTTGATTTTGGCGTTGACTGGATGCTAACATTACTAGGTGGCGGCATTGGAACGCTTCTGCCAAGTTCTCTGGTCAGACAATCGGCGCTAAGATACGGAGATGGTGGTGGTAAGTCGCAATGTCTGCTCTCCGACTTGGCCAGCATCTCCCCTTGTGTCTGTTCACGGGCTCGTCTCGAGGCTGCAGAACGCCTTGTCTTCGACGACTGTTCTGGGAGTGAAGGATCACTCGTATCAGGGAGTATTGTCCGATTTGCCCACGCATCAGGCTAGGGCTTGGGCCTCGCTGTGGGATAACATCGGTGGCTTTGTGATCGATGGCGGATTCCTTTAGTCACCACATTGCTTTGATCCCATATTTCAGAAACCATGTGTACCGCCAACGGAATCCAGCTGACTTAGTCTAGGGGTGTCAACAACTGGAAAATTCCTGAGCACTCCAAGTGGAACCCTCGAAGTGAGCAGCAGTAGACAGTCCGACAACCGGGGTAGCAACGATCCCAGGCGACGGCTCTCGGACGAGCAAAATATCCCGCAGCGCAGATACGCTGCAGCATATGTTTGCGCCTGCAGCTGGTCGCGTGCGCCTTCGTAGGTCACAGGCACTCACAGCGAACTACAAGAAGCTTAGCATAGCTGCACGGTCCAAAGCAATGGGATGACTGCCAATCATCGAGCAGGAGAAATCGCCTGTCGGCATGTCTAGGCCCAACTACGTGGGATTCTTGCACCGGCAACGATCCGTTGCGAACAACGCAGATGGGCCCAGCGCTGGGAATCCGACACGAGCCGACCGAAGGCTGGACAGTTCTGGCCTCGGTTTCATGCCCAAATGGAATAAGAGAGCAGAATTTACTCGTGGGACATGCGTGCGTTGAGCGTGGTCCCGAGCACATGCTGTGCTTCTTTTCTGCCCGTCCTGTAGCTCTGCAGATCTCGGACAGGGCAGAAGCGCTGGAACCGCAACTGCGTGGCAGCACTGCGGCCGTCACGTATTTGACGCTTAATCTTGCAGCAGATCTGCCAGCTCGAGTAGGAAGCACACGAGAGGTGCAGCGGAATGGCGACCAAACAGAAGGCTCGGATTGTGAGCACGCCATAGCTCTCTACAGTACCATCACCCAGACAAGCGTGGCGATCACCGAGAAAGACGTACATTCGACCATGCGTTCAAGCTCCCCGTGCGTCATGCTATATCGATCCCATGCATGTATCGCGACGACATTATTGATATCAGCACCCTACATAGCCATGCCATCAACTACGGGTCTTGGCGCTGCTCGGTCTCATGAGATGACATGACATGGCCGATGCGAATGGAGTTGGCTCGGCCGATAGCGGGACCCTGCCCCACACTGAGTCCGCACCTTCATCATTGGGAAGCCGTGAAGCAGTGGGCCATTCTTCGTTTTGGGGACTTGTTGGCGAACTGACTTTGCGCCCTCGACTGCCGGGGGCGCAGGCGCGCGACACAGGAGGTACAGGAAGCATGGAGGGCGCCAGGGAAGCAGTGCTTCTGGCCATTCACAGGGCAAACGAAAAGACAGATCGTGCAGCAGTGCAGCACGTTCCCTGCGCGTGTCTCCGTCGTTCCTGGGCGAGGCACCCTCAACCTGTGGGTTGAGCCACGAGGCTAGGTTTACGCTTGGGATGCCGCCGCCCGCCCACCACCCGTCACCACCCTTCACTTCGCGCCGATACTCGCTTACTTGTTTGCGAACCCGAACGCAGAATCTGCGCAAAGAACGACTGACGACCTACATTCCACTTACCTTATTTAAGTGTTCTGCTGTCACACAGCCACCAACCATCATCCCAATTGGGCATACCGTCGAGTAAAAAGATATCTCACCAGGTCACTACAACCATGTCGAACAAGCCAGTCTTCGTCGCCACCCATCCACGAGCATGCTCGACGGCGTTCGAGAGGGTATGTCGACACGCAATGCTTGATACGACTCTCGGACCACCCGGACTGATCATGCAAACAGGTCTTCATGACCCGCCGCAACAGCATCCAGACGATCCATGAACCGTTTGGCGATGCCTTCTACTATGGCCCGGAGAGAATGGGCACCAGATTCGAGAACGACGAGGAAGCGCGCAAACAGAGCGGGTTTGCTGAGTCGACGTTCAAGACGATTCTGGACCGCATTGAGCGGGAGTCCGCCGAGGTATGTTCGTCTCCTTCACACCGGGCGCGTTCCAGCACGCGCTCTCGTCCCTTGCATTGGCCGACAGGAACTCGACTCCTTCCATTGCCTCGTGTCGCGGGGTGGAATCGAGGCAATTTTCCAATGGCTTCCGTGCGTCATAATGATGACGGCAAGCGAATTCCTCGGATCCCAGATTGATTGCCATGCCCACAATATCCAGCACGGCAAAGCGAAACCGAACGGGAAGGTACTGACTCCATCACAGGGCAAGCGTGTCTTCATCAAAGACATCACCCATTACCTGCTGCCGCCGAATCACCAGCAAGCCCGTCTTGCACCTTCTCTGCAGACGATCAAGCGCGGCGTCGGCACCAACAACGCTTCCATTAACGGCGGCGTCGGCAGCGACAGAGATGCCGCTGCCGATACTGATTCGGGGGTTGGTTTCACACCCTCGAACAGCCGCCCGGAGAGTCCCAACTCTCCTTCCAAAGCTGCTCCGTTCCCGTACGAGAACAGCAAGACCGAGGGCAAGAACCCAACCGTCGTGCCTCGCGAGATCTTGGAGAAGTTCCACTTCACGTTTTTGATTCGCCATCCTCGAAGCGCGATTCCTTCTTATTACAGGTGTTGCATTCCACCGCTTGTCGAGAGGACGCAGTTCACTCCTTTCATGCCCGAAGAGGCTGGCTACGACGAGCTGAGACGTCTCTTCGACTACCTCAAGGATGAGGGTATCGTCGGTCCCAAGATTGCGGGTCGCGATGGCGAATTGAAGGAAGGTCAGGTCGAGATTTGCGTGATCGATGCCGATGATATGCTTGATGATCCCGAGGGCATTCTGCGCCAGTACTGCGATTCGATCGGGCTCGATTTTTCGCAGGCAATGTTGCAGTGGGATTCCGAGGAGAGCCATGCTTTTGCCAAAGAGCAGTTCGAGAAGTGGAATGGCTTCCACGACGATGCAATCAACTCGACTGATTTGAAGCCGCGCGCTCACGTAAGTCTTCGTCCTGTCACTCTTCGATTAGCGCTGCATACTGATTTATTTTGCAGAAGCATAAACCAAAGAGCGAGGAGCAGCTCTATGCTGAATGGGTCGAGAAATTCGGCCAGGAAGCCGCCGATCTCATCAAGAAGACCGTCGACGCAAACGTCGCGGACTATGAGTACTTGAAGCAATTCGCCGTCAAGCAGAAGCGCCGCGATTCCATCGCGTGACTACTGGAGCCGTGGTGCGAGGTCATGAACGATTAAGACGATTCGTCGTCAAACATCTGTTCATGCCTCGCAATTTGATTTTCGGCGGTAAACTGTGCGACCTTGGGCTCTTTTTGACAGCACATATTCTTGACGACCTTGACGGCCATTCCAGTCTCGATCATGTGAGAGACTGGCTGGATATTGCGAATGGCGCAATGCGTGGCTTTGCTTTTTTTTGTTTATTTTCGGTCTTCTGCACGCAATGAATCAGGCATTGTATTAGGAGGAAAATATGAGGATCAGAATGAAAACGACAACAGGCGGTGACTTGCGAGCACGCTATGCATTTCTAGTTTTTGCTCATCGAGCACGCCATGGAGGCTCAGTTTCATTTTACGCGACGAGCCTCGTCCACAAGTGAGGCCACGGCAATATTGTGTCTTTGGGAATCAACTCTGGCGATGACTTGGCACCGACATCGCAAGTGCTGTGGCTAGAATTGTGTTTTATGGAGGACACAGCTGCGACGGCTTCGTTATCCACCATGGCTTCAGCGCGATAGACCGACGACGTTTCGCACCGCGCGCCGTATTGAACGACTTCACTCGAGGCCCGAGGACGTCAGCGAAGCCTCCGTTCTGTCATTGACCAACTTGTCATGGCAGGCGTCATTCGAAGAGACAGTCACAGAATTCTGCCGATGATTCTATCCGGGTTCTATCCGAGAGAAACCGCCTCTTAGCCGATGACAATGACCTCAGCAGAGACTTAGCTTATGCTAGACACCTTAGACGTCATTTGGCATGGGATTGTTTCTAAGCATTGAATCTCAGAGCATATAAGCTGAAGGTGGGGAGCTCATATACACTACATTGCAACAGTGGAGCGAGAAGACATCACAATTCTAAGAACAAGTGAACAGCAGCAAACCAGTACTAAACCAACAGAACCACCATGGCTACGACATTGATCTTTGGTGGATCTGGCAAGGTGAGCAGATACAAGACACCACTAGAGACACCACAACATAAACACTAATCCCACCTCTCCCCAAAGGTCGCCCGCCACATAACCCGCATCCTCTCCTCCGAAGGCGGCATCGTCCACAGCATCATCCGCAACCCCTCCCAAAAACCCGACATCGAATCCCTCGGCGGCCGTCCCATTGTCCAAAGCATCGAAGACTCCTCTGTGGAAGACTTCATCCAAACCATCAAATCCACGCAACCCAACACCGTAATCTGGGCCGCAGGCGCAGGCGGCGGATCACCCGAACGAACACAAAAAGTCGACTACGAAGGCGCAGTGAAAGCCGCAGATGCCACCGCCGCAGCAGGCGTAACAAAACGATACATCATCATCTCAGCCCTCGATATCAGAGATCGCGAGAATAAACCTGAACCAGAATGGTACGATGACGCAGATCGTGATCGGTCGAATAAAGTTTGGAATGCCATTGGACCGTATATGAGAGCCAAGTATGCGGCTGATAAGGATTTGGTGGAGAATAATGGGAGGAGAGGATTGGAGTATACGATTGTGAGGCCTGGGGGGTTGTCGGAGGATGCTGGGACGGGGAAAATTGATGCCGGCAAGGTGCATCTAAACAGGACAATTCCCAGGGAAGATGTTGCGAGAGCGGTGGTGGAGGTTATTAAGAATGAGGGGACGAAGGGGTTGGCGTTTGATTTGGTGGGTGGGGATGAGTTGAGTGTGAAGGAGGCGGTGGAGAAGGTTGCGAAGGGGAGGATTGATACTTTTGAGGGGAGGTATTAGATGTATCCTTCTCAGCCCCTTGGAGAGCAGCTGGTGCCAGGTGCATTCGCGCAGCACAGCACACCACATGTGTGACTGCCAACTAGTGGGGTTTCGCGGTGACACAGAAATATCACATCGCAGAACAGCATTACCACGCAACAATTGCTGGTATGAGAAGCGTATAGTATATTGACCTCATCGAGCGAGCTTATGAATCACAGATACTTGGTCCTTCCCTGGAGAGGCTCAACCTCGTATTGGGAGAATCCAACACGCTTCGTTCCTTGCTGCTGCTCGTCTGTTCCGGTTGTCAAAACACCATACATCAACGCTTTCATTGCTGCCTCCCCTCCTTCGCCACAATTCGCACAAGCAGCACTGATCGCGATCGAACAAGAGCCCATCAGCGGCATTCCTCGATGCACCTTTCTCAAGGATAGCGCACAGAAGACCAGGATGAGGAGAGCTCCTAACGAGCATGACAAGATCAGAGCCAAGGGCGAAAACGCGCAAGCCGTGTATGACTCCTCGCTCATTTCTCCCGCAGGGTCATAGTATTCCACCGCTTTGAAGAAAAGGCTTCGTGAGATCAACCAGTGCAGCAATGCCATCGTGGATAGAAGCGGGATGCTGTATTGGTACGGAAGTTGCAACCAGTATGTGCTCTTCTGTTGGCCCTCTGGGTCGCTCACGCGCAGGAACTTCCGTTTGGTGGCAAATTGCGTCGTTTCGTATGTGAGAAGCATGCATGTAAGAGAGTTGTTGTAGAAGACATAAGCGAAGCTGACAAGCAGTTGAGGAATATTGGGGACGATGATGTAGAGCGAAAGTGATGCACTTTCCGGTAGACCGACCAGTGAGCTGAAGTTGAAGTCCTTGAAGTTCAGCTTTGACTCTGATGATATCCCATCATCTAAGAATGCCACTGCAATCATACACGCGGCGACGAGCCACATGATGACACAGCTATAAGAACAAGTCAGCCTTCTCGCACTTGGCAACTCATAGAAAGACTTACAGAAATAGGCAGATCTTCCAGGGACTGAAGAGTCCGACGCTTGGGGTACGCCACCAGTGGTCGCTCTCTTGAATGAATGGAGCCGGCTTCGATCTTGAAGTGCCTACCTCGCCCGTTCGAGAGACCGCTCCGGCGCCACCACCTTCATCTTGAATTGGGACATGAACAATGCGAACCCCAGGCCTTTGCCAGGTTGTGGGCGTTCTCCCCGGAGCAACAACGTCCATCACACTGATTGGACCACGACCCTTCGCGGAATCCTCTGGCTCTTCCAGGAAATATTTTACTGCATCGCCTATCGTGACCAGAGGTTTGAAGGACTTGAGGTTCATGCCTGCCATGGCACAAAGTACCAGAACCTTCACCACGTTGCAACCCATCACTACCGCTAGAAGCGATAGGCTGACCTTCGCAGTGCATTTTCCTGGACTCTGCGCCGCAAGACAATAGTCCACCTCTACCGTGGTTCTGGTCATATTGCAACGATCAATCCAGGGTGAGACGCAGCTAGACCAGTTTTCCTTTATGCAATCTGGAATAGTTCTCCACCCATCGTTGCACTGGTACAGGTATGTCCTTATGGGCCACTCCCCCGCATCATCCTTATAAGCAGGCACCAATTTATGCTCCCCGCACGTGGTGTTTATAGCGTTTCCCGAACCAAGAGACCCTCCGCATCTCCAGTCCAAGTCATTAAATTGGTCCTCGGCCTTGTGTATGAACAGATCTAGCAGTGGCAGCACAGCGAACGTTTTATTTCCCTGGATAAGTGTGCCAAATTCAACATCGTTTATTGGCTTTGTCACAACCAACAGGTTTTCTTTATCGCTCTCGGCGGCGTTTGTGGCGCCATACGCAATCAGACACTCTCGTTTGCTCAGTCGTGTCAAATTACCCTGTAGAGCTAGATTCCTGGTGGTCCAGAAGGCGTCTACGACGCTTTCGTCTGGGAATGATGTACTTCCCTTAATTTCTTCTGGTATCTTCATATCATCGAAACCCCGCGATGTCTCGAAAAAGTCGGGTGCAACTAGCGAAGCTACGTAGTCGTGCCTGGCGGATGTTGTGAACAGGACAGAGTTGTACAGCAGATGCAAAGGAATCGAACTCATCATGAGAACAACCCATCCGGATCTCCTCCATCGCGGTATTGTGCGTAAGCCGCGAAGACTGGGAACTCCAATGTCCATCCATCGATTTTTGGAGTGCGCGCGGGCTACGTCGGATCGTGTTGGGGCTGAGAGGAGCTGAGCACCAGCATTGCTTGCACCCAAAAGAAGGGTGCCGAGGATATTAATGAGCAGGTGACCGTAAGTGGAAATGTTGGAAGTGACGGTGCATGTTCCTGCACGTGTTGTCAGTTGTATGTTTGCGTGACATGAAGAATGGTCTCGCCCAGCTGCACCAAATACCTCTATATATCGTCGCAATTCCATCCTCGATCTTGAACTGGAGCGCAACGTAGGTGAAGACCCATATATTGATGGTGAGCACGATGGCGGCTGTTGTTGCTCCTGCGGTGATGGTAACTCCCCAGGACTGCCATCTCGAAAACCCCTTTCGGCGGATGCCACTCTCGATCTTATTTTCTTCTGCGAATTCGTCCTTGACTTGCGCGTGCTGGTCTAACACATGATATATCACCGTCATCTCGAAATGACTACAGCTTCAAAGCCGCACATGAGCTGGAGGCAATCTTGTTACTGAGGGGGAGAAATGACATGGGCGACAACGGCAGTTGTCGTAATCTTGAACGAGCCATACTGCAAGGGATCCAATAGCAGATACAGGTCCACCGTCCCACAAGATCGATCGCCATTCTGCAAGTCTCGAGGCAGTGTATACCAAAAAGCAGTGTATACAAAGTGTACACAGCCTTATGTACCAACTGCGCCTGATAGCCAAGGTCTTGGGAACGCTTTGTGGCGTTTTGACAACACGACCAGCCCTCTGACGTTAGCAGATGAACAATCTGATGCGAGTTTTGATGGTTTCAGTAATACTTCTAGCCTCCATGATAGTTAGTTCCGGTGCATATGAGACTCAAAATCAGTATCCGAGTGTGTGCGACTGCAGGACGCCAGGGAAGCTTCTTGACAAGACGTGGTGGCTTTCCGACAACACAGCCTTGCGGCCATCCTTCAGAAACACACCGCTTGACCTTTGTATGAACAGCATCGTACATGCCTAATAATGAAACGCTGCGCCCTGAGTACGTCAGTCTCGTTTTTGCTTGTTTCTTGTTGGTGCATACCAATAACGTGTGGAGTCAGCACCAAGTTGGACATCGAAGTATCGTCGTTGATGACCCTCATTGACACTGTGGCTGCAACACGGACCAATTGTGAGTCGAACAGGCGGATAAGGTTTCGAATTTTATGCAATAGAAGTCAGCGATGGTGAGCTTGACAGAGAAAGGCGAGAAAATCACGACATCGTCAAATTGGGCCATAGCAAGATTGTTTCGTGTTGGAAAGGCGAAAAGCCGAAGCCGTAGTTCATTGATCTTATCAGAAATCTGCCATCTGTACGCTGCCGGTCAGCGATACCGTCTCGAATAATTCATCACTGCGGGCGCTGCCTCTACTGAACCTGCTCTCTCGGCTCGAATCTGCAAAGTGCCGGAGGAAGCTTGAAAGGCGTCTCAGAATCGAGATCAACGTCCAAGCCTCTTTGCCTCTCTTTGGCATAAGGATCCAAATTTCCATCTTTGTCACAGCTGGACAACTTCCACAATGCCAGTGCATTGGCAAGCATTATGTATTGCTGAAGTTTGGCCCATCGCATGCCGGTGCAAGGGTGAGTGCCGCCTCCCCAGCCGAAGACTGAAGGAATCGTTAGTTTCTGTGTTCTTGAGATATACGTTTCCGTCTACTCACATCCATAAGGTTCCTGCTTGAATTCTTCACGGCCTTCCAGGAAGCGAGTTGGGTCGAATTTGGAAGGTTCAGGATATAGCTTGGCGCTGAACTGCGGCTCGCCAGTGTGGTAGATAGCAAATGTGTGACCAGGCAAGACTTCATCTGAGCCAGGAATGGGTATCGCATTGGGCGATGTGTTGTAGCGCATGACTCCAAATGAGGACCAGCTGCGGATAAGCTCGTTGAGACACATATGCATAGTCGGGAAAGAAGTCTCCCAAGCCTTGAGCGGAATGTGAGGAATCTTGTCCACTAGAGCGACGTCCATGCCTCCAGCATATTTGTTGGCGACTGTCTGTAGTTCCTCGAAGCATTTTTGCTGCCATTCTTGGTGGATTGCCATGTTCTCCAGCATTTGAGATGAGATGACGTGAGCATTGGTCGTAGTGATGAAAGCGGCACTGGTGAAAAACTCGTTGATGTAAGGTTCTGAGTCGCCATTGTTGATCAGGCTCTGGAAGGGGTCGTTCTTGCGGGAGGCCTCCTCTGGTGTCATAGACAGGCGCTGGTTGTACATTTGTCGAAAGAAGCGTACAAGGCCGTAGCGCGCGAGTCGTCGTCGCCAGTAAGCTGGGGATGGAAGCCATTTGAAGAAGACATTGAAGACGCTGTATGTGTGTAAAAGAGTATCGACACAATCGGAGACTTTCTTGAACTGTTTGGGATCATCTGCAATGTCTGAGCTGACAAATAGGCGACAATTCTGGCGCAGGATTGGTTTCCAAAGTTCTGGAAGATTGATGACACCGGTGGGCGAGTCGGCCAGAATAGTCTCAAAGCACTCGCGAGCGTCTCCAATACATCGGAAAAGTTGCTTCTCCAATTTGTCTGTCTTCATCATCTCCAACATACGGCGCAGAAAGAAAGTATTGTTGCGGGCACGGTTGCCATCTGGCTTGAAGATGTCGTGGATGGGTGGCCAAAAGTGTACTCCGAAAGGCAGAATGACAGCACCGCTGACAAGATCCAAAAGCGGTTCTTCGAAGAACCATTTGCGTGCGGCTACGCCTGAAAGTCCGATGACATGGCGTCTGCCCAAGCGGAAGCTGAAATGGCCGGAGGTGGACTCCTTGACAGATTTCTTGTACCAAGTCCTGAGTCGAAATGTTAGCATAATCCACCTGTTTCCTTGTTGGAACACTTACAATTGGCGAGAGATGTAGCCAAAGGAGCCAATTATAGGGGATGTGTCAGACGTGAAAGCTGGAGATTTGGGGTGCACGCCGGGCGGTCGAAGGTAGTAAGTCAGCAAGGCCACCAGGGCTGTCACCAGACTCGTCAAAGCGATAGGAAATGTGCCTTTGTCAGCAATGATCAGGGGCAGAGCGGCCGAAATCGTGGGAGCCGCCAGTAGGCTTTCATTGAAGTTGGTGGTAAGGTTCATCTTGTCGGCCACCTGAAGCTCATCAGGGTTGAAGGTCGACTCGGGACAGCTCGATATTGTTTCTTATGTACTGTACTTCGCGCTGACCCATATCCGAATGGTCCGCCTTGCGAAAGAGCATAGTATCGGCTGTCGGTATGTTGGCAGAAAATGGCGCGAGGTGTGAGTACGGGAGCGGATCTGGGCACGAAATAGCCCGGTCTTGGTCGATCCATCGTCTTTAGTGCTAGTGACTCCGTCAAGCTGAGCTTTACTAAGCTAGGATGGGGCTATGGCGATGAACTTGTCCACGAGAGTGCCATGTGGTTGATGCAAGTCGGACGATTGTGGCAGGATGTTTGGCTTGGCATTTTGGCAGCTCGTCAATAATTGACGGTGTCAAATGAATCGTAGCTAAGAATAGGTGCTACACATGCCTGAGGCTCCCACAACCCCGTCAACTTCACTCAGTGGACTTTGGACTGCTGTCGCGCCAGCAAGTAGGCCATTATTTTTCGCCACATATGCGCTGATCTTCGGAAGCGCCTCCTTCATCGCCAACGCGTCAAACATCTCCTCGATCCGATCCACGTACTCTCCACTGGCGTCGAAATACAGAAATATGGCATGCTCGTTCTTGAATAGCCCAAATGGCGTTTGAGACTCGGACAGCGCATACAGAGCTGCTTTATTGTGTGCCACATCATGCACAACGTTGTGTATGGTGACCTGACGGCGTATCAGCTTCTGAAAGAGCATCATGGGGCGGACATGTCGGCCTACTTTGAAGTCGGACATGACAGACATGAGATGTGGAAAGAGCTTTGTAGCTTCGGCTCGTGTCATGAGTGGCTTGCCGCTGCTGAGAGGCAAGGCTTGCTGTGTGCATTTCTCAGACCAGCTTGCTAGGAAGCCATCAACAGTCCAGCCTCTCCAGCCGTCGATGTACTTCTGGAGAGTCTTTGCCTGGATCTCGGCTGCTGGAACCATGATGTTGCGACCTTTCAGTGTTTAGGCTGGCTAAAGTAAAAAGAAGGCACTGGTATGATTAGAGCAGTCATTGACTTAGAAGTCTATATTTCTGCCTACGCCTTATTACACCTCGGGTTTTCGGGGCTTTACGTGGTCAGCGCAACCTCCGTCCGGATTCTTACACACTATCACAGCCAGAGACACCACAACGCATAGCAGATCTCTAAAAATTTATCGTGGAGAAGTTTACGCAAGCTCGAATGGCGACGTTGCTTGCGGATTTGATTGTACTCATGATCGTACTTATGATCGACAACGATCTCTATGTGCTCCCACAACGCTCTGATATCTAAGGTTCGCCCTACGTTCGCTGCTCAAGGACCAGTATTTGCTGGCAGAGCGTGATGCAGAGAGGGCAGATAGTGCCTCAATAGGCCGAGCAAGATGCACATCGGCGTACCGCTTGGGAAGCTCGCTTTGCCTCCGGCAACTGGATTGACAGCCACATTGCGGCGGTCCCATCCTCCACGCGGACTATCAGCAGCCTCAATCATCCCTGCAGCCAAGTCAAGATATGATAGCGGACCATCGGACATTGTAAGGCTGAGGGAGTGTCCGCGCTGAGCGTCAACCGACAGAGCTCCAGGTTTGATGTAGATCGTGGTCAGCCACGACTCTTCTGCCCGGAGAAGCTTCTCCGTTTCGATCAGGTCGTGATAGACGTAAGATGCCGATTGCCGGAGCACCCAGACCAAAGGTTGAGGAAGTTGCTTCGCAAAATGCTCAACTGTTGTGTTCGATGACAGCAGCAAAAGCTTGGGCAGCTGAACTGGTTGCCCACGTGCAATGCTCTCATCACGCTGGCGCTTGAGGACCCCCACAATGGCAGCGGCCACATCTTGAGCCATGCGACATCCTGGAATATTGTCGTTTGTCGAGACGCATAGGAAGATAGCCTGACAAGAGCTAACGCATGATGTCAATAATTCTGTATCCTGAATGCTGCCCTCAAAGATTCGAATTCGATCCTTCTTGTCGTCCAAGTCTGGGAATCTTTTGAGAAGCTTCGCTTTATTGCGACAATAGGCGTGAACATTGGCGTCAGGTCGGTCCAGAAGGTTCTCGATCAATGCAGAACCACAATTGCCAGTGGCGCCGAGCACTGCGTAAGTCTTCGTGGGTGCCGACATGTTGGCTTAATGATTGACGGGCGGCTCACGAATATTGCTTGTATAATTATTCGGCAACTGAAGCTCCCGTTTGAATCAAGATGGAGCTGCTTGATTCTAAACTCAGACAGTCTCTGGCCTGGAGCCTTTTTGACTGCGGCATCCTGGCAAAAATCCGCGGCAAACCTCAGTACTCTTAGGACCTGCCGGAGCAAAAGAGGTCGGCTCATTAGGCGCTGGGAAATCGATCCGACACAGCAAGATGGCAAGAGATCACATTTGAGACTTCAGAATGCACCAGGAGACTGACCAATGAACGCCCTCTACTAGAAGAAATACATGAACAGATGATACAACGAGGAGGCTTCAATAATACTGATATCTAGAAACTGTCTACCTCCTTCCCATCGCGAACAAATTCCTCTACCCACCCAATGGTCATCCTGCTACACGTCAGATCAAGTTCCATACGGAAGTCCTCACAGCCCGCAACAGAGGCAGGGCTCCACTTACATGCTTCGCTTTGTATCGGCAAATTTCTCATGATCGCCCATAAGGCGCTCCTTATACACTGGGTCTTGCTTCAAGCGAACGTAGTCCTCGATGCTCTCGAATACGACTTGACTGAAGCAATCAAAACCGGCCAGCTGGGTCATTTGTGGGTCGAAAAGACGTGACATATGAGCTCTGGTCACGGTCTGATTGTGGATCTGCAACACCCGCAACGTCAAGTTTGAAGCTCTTGATTTTCAACAGATTGCAGTGTCTCAGAGACAAGATCGTACCTGTGTCCACCTTCGGATACCATGCTTGACCATGAGGTCCTTGGTCATCGGCGCTGATACATTGATCATGTGATTGCGGTAGTTTTCTTCGCTCATACCAGGCTTACGATACCCACAGATCGTCAAACACAAATATCTGTTGTTGACATCGCCATTCGATGATCTGGATTCAATTCTGACTTGATCCTCCGATTCTGACGACGCGGAAGCAGCTGTCTTGGCTCGCTTTTGCAGCCGGTGCTGCGTCTTTCGACTGTGTCTTGTGGTGGTCGGCATTTCGTGGGTATGCTTGAATCTTCACGCACAACGATTCCACTGCAGAGCACGCTTCTGCTGCCCTCGATTCAAGAGCACTCTATGCCATCTGTGAACTACAAAAGTGTGTCTCGTGCTATTGCCACATTGCCCATCGGGCGATTAAATTGCCTAAATAGGCAATATTCCGATGACCGACGAAAACAACATTGGAGCATCGACGATATCGATTACAGCCTTGTGCTTCAACAGTCGTGAAGACATCGTGGCTGGTTGGGCTCATAGATCGATTCTACCATGCGCGCCTTCTTCGCAGTTTCAAAATGGAATGGCAGACTGGCGCTTTGAAGGATTGGATTTGTCCATACAGCATACCTGGCAGACTAGTCTGAAAGATCAATTTCTTCTACAGTGATAACCGATGAGAGCTTCTCTTGTATGTGCATCACATTATGCGCGGCACCAATTGCGTACCATCTGCGCTTTCCGCCCCGATTTGCAAATGCAACACTGCCGTCTCCCGCGAGCTTACGGAGCACTTCGTCAATGATCGGTTCCAACGTAAGTGAACGGGTCTGCTTGTCAAGAGCCGATCCATATATTTCACCAACGAGCTGTTCAAGGGTGACATTCTTTGCACCTTTGTTGCGAGACTTTCGAAGAGCATCCAAGACTTGTCTTTCTCGTCGCCATTTCTGCTCCATTTCTCGCATAATCTTGTCGGAGAGGTCCTGGATCGTGACTCCATGGGCGGAGTAACCCTTCTCACATTGTTCATCGTACATCTTCTGAAGGCTTTGCTGGAAAAGGCCAAGGTCCTCTAGTGCACTGGATCCGTGGCCCAAAATGTTGTCTCCTGTGAACATCGCATTTTCTTCTTCGAGAATGAAACACATGTGATCTTCCGAGTGGCCCGGTGCGTGAAGCGCCCGGACAGTGGCCCCTTCGACCTCCCAGATCTGGCCATCATCGATGTCCTCCTGCTCAAGGACGGGCAAATTCTTGTGGACGTGACCAGCGAGATTTGGGAATAATCGCAAAAGATCGGGAACGCCACCAGTATGATCACCGTGCCAGTGTGTCAGGAGAACATGGTCCAAGGTGATGCCCCTTTGTTGCAGGGTGCTCTCAACGAGTGAGGCCCATTCAGGCTCCCCACCAGAGGTGTCGATCATGAGCCTATGCTTTCCAGTCCCGATAACATACGTGTTGGTCCCTTGTAGCGTCATCTGCAAGTTAATGTTACTCAATGTCCAGATATCGCGCTGAGTATGGGACGGCTACCTTTCCCGGATTCTGTCCTAAGATGCGAAGAACTCGAGGAGACACTTGCTCGACATTTGGTATTCTGGGCAGATTCTTGATCTGGCTTTTGAGATAATCTCCAAAGGCACCAATGTTAAGTGATTTGTTGATCTGTCTGTACCCGCCCTGATCGTCGTCCATTTTGTTGAAATGGCTGCAGCCTGGGCTTGAGAGATCGATACGCGTTGAGCTCTACCGACCCCCTTATGCAAATTGTACCTTGCAATCAGGCAGGATCTGTGATAACGAAGTGCTTTGGTGTTATCAAAAAGGCTGCAGAGCAAGGGAATCAATGGATGATTGTTGTGCGTCAAGATGAAGGAAGACTGATGAGATGCATTTACGAATACTTACGGGTTGTTCTCAGGGTCATATTTTAGGCCTCACCTGGTGATCGGGACATTCTGCGTTGAATGCTCCGGTTGCTGGTAACCAATAAGAGTTGGTAGCATGCACAGTGAGCCTGAAGAGAGGAGCGGCTGAGCCGTGCTCTTGCTGGGAACTGTCAAGACTTGTGGTGTTGTGACAGTGAACCTTCTGTCATACTACGCACTCATCTCAATATGCGAGCGGCCTGCAGTCTGCCAAGGTCAACAAGAAGGTGCTGCTCATCAGCTACAACAGATAAGTACGACATGGTGCTTGCTCGATGATAGCTTTGACATTGGACGAAGCTTTTCGCTCATACTCCAGGACAGGATGACATGCATTTCGAAGGACTGTCTTTCATTTTCTCCACTCATAGAGTAGTAACAAACGTATGGTTTTGTCGTGGATCTATCTCGCCAATGCAACCTACTCTATGTACTCGGCCAACCTCAATCACAAAACGAGACACACTCATGCAGCACCACCATCTACAGTGAGCACCTTCCCGTTGATCCACTCTCCCTCTGCACTGACAA